AGACAATACAACTTCATTGTTTCCAAATGAACAATAATAACTAGATTTGTCCAAATAAGAAACAGAAACCAAATTCCGTCTAAAAGACGGTATAACAAAAGTATATTTTTATTCCACAAAATGTCCAGTACTTAATAATAATTTAAATATGCCTACAGCTTCCACATCCACTGATTCACCATTTCCAAAGTAAATGGGTCTTTCAGCATCAGTTGGTTTTCGGTGGCTAAGGCAACCCTGCATTGAAACACTGGTGTTATTAGTTGAACCGGAGTCTAACCACCAAGTGTTTCGAGGTACTGAAGCTAAATTAACTTCAGAACAAACCAAATTAAAGAATGTACCTTTCTTCACGCACCAGGCGGAGTATTTAACACAATCTTTCTTTAGATGTCCAGATTTCTTGCAAAAGAAGCATGAAATCTCCTCCGGTTTACCCTTTGGGGCTGTACCCTAAGCAGTCTCAACCTTAACGGCCTTAATTTTCTTTTAAAGCCACCCGCATCTTTCGAGGTACCAACCATATGTACCTCTTCAACCCTATTATGCTTCATTTTTTCTTCTTCCTCAACACTAGGGGTGTCAATAAAACCCGTAGGGTCGGGTTACCCGTGGGTTACCCGTATTTTTGGGTCGGGTATACCCGAGATGAATGTGTTTCGGGTTGGGTTAGGGTAGAATTATGCTACCCGAACCCCGGGTCGGATCGGGTGCAGGTATAGTAGGCAAACCCATTACCCGACCCGATTACCTTACCCGTTTACCCGCAACCATTGAATCATGTATATATATATATATGTATATATATATATATATATATATATATACACATATATAACTTATAATAAATTAAAAGTAGTCATGTGTTAATTTTTAAAAATTAGATTATCTATTATAATTTTGATTAATGGTTAAATTTATATTATTTTTTATAATTTTAAATCAGTTTTTGTTAATTGTACAATAAAAAAATTAAAACTGAATTTTAAATGTTATAATATTAAATAGACTATAAAAGATAAATAATTATATCTCGTTATTTATTCCAAAAATAATAATTATTTTTATAGGTTTTATTGTCAAACTTAGTTAAAAAATTATTTCTTACATTATAATTAATTGTGAAATTATTTTATTTTATTTTCATATGAAACGAGATGGGAACGGACCTAAATTTAAGACTCGGGTTACCCGATTACCCGACGAAAACCCACTAACCCGTCGGGTAAAACCCAACCTGAACCCGAAGATTACTAGTCGGGTAACGGGTCGGGTTTGGGTAGGGTAAATTATATGCAGGTCGGGTTCGGGTTTGCCAAAACCCGTACCCAGCCCGACCCATTTACATCCCTACTCAACACAGTGAGAAATTAGCTCATTAAGAGTCCATTTTCTCCTTTTGCAGTTGTAACTGACCTTAAACTGGTCGTATTGAGGAGGAAGAGAGAGCAGGACCAATAGGACAAGTATGTCCTCCGAAAGGTCTAACTTTAGTGCCCTCAACTTAGAAGCAATAATGGACATCTTGAGGATGTACTCCCTTATGTTGCCTTTGCCGAGATACCTCATGGTAATGAGACTCTTTAAAAGAGTACTCATTTCCGCCTTATCGCTTTTGTTAAAGCGCTTTTCAATCTCGACAAGAAACTCTTTAGCTAGAGTGATATCATCAGATATCGTACCCCGAAATATTTCTGGAATACTTTTCTTTATGATCATAAGACGTAGGCGATTAGACCTTTCCCACTTCTCAAAGCACAATTTTTCCTCAGTAGTGCTGTTCTCCGTAAGAGAAGCAGGTTGGTCTATCCTTAATGTCAAGTCTAGATCCATACAGCCCAAATGAATCAAAATTGATTCTTTCCAATTATTAAAGTTGTCCCCATATAAAGTGGGGACTGTATAGTTGGTAGATACCATAGATGAAGAACCTGATGAGAATAATAAACAGAGATACTCACATTATTATCCATTGTTTAATCATTTAAACCAAATATGGATTAAACCCATAGCAAGATACCCAGCACAACATTAATATCATATCTTTGGATAGTGATATTAATTGTAAGCGTTGGGGCCACAATTGCTTGATTCTTGACCGACGGCCAAAACGGGTATTCTAGGCGGTGGGGCCTTTCTGTCGCTTGATTCTTGCCTCTTCTGGTTGGTTTCTCTAATGTTGGCCGACAATGATCGTGCGGACTATTTTGAAGAGTCGAATGAGAAGGTCCCGACTAGCTATGACATAGCCGAGCCACTTAAGGCAATTGCTTGAGCTTTGAGTGTATATATATTCGTCTCAAGTCTTGCTAAATTACCTTTTCCTGTTTTTTCTATTTTTAAAAGTTTGGTTGGTGGTGTTAAATAGATGTTTAAGTACCTTTAAAAAAGGATGTTTTATTATTTCTCTACAAAATGGAATTTAACTTGTGTAAAAGCTCCTACATTTCATCCAGTTGTGGAAGAGTTTAGTTAAAAAAAATTAAATAAATAAATTATATGCTTCTTAGACCTTCTCCATCCAAAACCTAAATAATGGCAAATGTTTACAGCCATTGATGAATACACACGTTCACAAGATCGATGAAATGACAACACAAGAAACACAAGAAACAAAAACGCAGCAGCTGAGGGAATATGATATGTTGATTGATTGGAAACCTAGGATGGATACAAAGTCTTTTATACATCAACACAGATAATCATAGCCGTAGATATAAGATCAATGGCTGAGAATAAACTAGCTATATGCCAAACAATTCAAACTGTAAAGAAAATAAAGCAGCTCCACGTCTGCATGAATAAGACATGCAGATAACCTAAAATGGAAATGAAAAGAGTAAAGGAGTAAAACTTGACTTGGTCTTCATAATCTTTATATGCTATTATGCCCCCTTCAATTCAAACGAGGGTTTAGGTTTAACTGTGAGTTTTTCCCGAAGCCGAGTGAAGAATTGACCCGATAAAGGTTTGGTCAAAATATCTGCAATTTAGTGTAAGGCAGGTATGTGATGAAAAGAGATTGTGTGAAGGTGGACTTGCTCTCGAATAAAATGAAAATCAATTTCAGCATGCTTAGTCTTTGAATGATGGACTGGATTAGCTGAGAGCAAAACTGAGCCAAGATTATCTACCCAAACCGTGGTAGGTTGATGCTGAGGGATAGCTAACTCAGACAGCAAGGTTCTAAGCCACATAATATCACAGGTAGCTCCAGCTAAACTCCTACACTCTGCCTCAGTACTGGATCTGGAAATTGTTTTCTGTTTCTTGCTGCTCCAAGAAATCAGATTACTGCCAAGGAATATGCAAAACCCTGAAGTTGATCGTCGGTCATCAAGATCTGTGGCCCAGTCTGAGTCAGCATAAGCCACCAACTGCATGGAGGGTGATCTAGTGAGGTGCAGCCCTGAAGTTATAGAGCCATGAAGGTATCTAAGCAGTCTCTTAAGAGCCTTCCAATGAGTGTCAAGGGGATTTTGCATGAATTGACTACATTTGTTGACTGAGTAAGAAATTTCAGGTCTTGTAATGGTTGCATATTGCAAGGCTCCAACAAGTTGTCTATACAAGGTTCCATTTTCAATAGGTTGTCCATGGTGTTTGGATAAACTGAGAGAAGACACCATTGGTGTACTAATAGCCTTGCAACCTGCCATGCCTGCCTTCCTAAGGATGCTTTTGATATAACCAGATTGGCTAAGAAAAAGACCATTACCTGTTATGTCAACTTCCAGTCCCAGGAAATAGTTCAAAGTTCCCAAGTCTTTTAAAGCAAAATGTTTCTTAAGAACTGAAATGGTGTGGTCAATTTGTTGGTTGTTGGACCCTGTGACAATCAAGTCATCTACATATGCTAAAATAAAAATGTTGCAGTTACCATCAGTCTTGATGAACAAGGATGTATCTGATTTAGAACTCTTGAAACCATGTGAGGAAAGGATGCTGCCAAGTTTTAAATACCAGGATCTTGAGGCCTGTCTCAAACCATATAATGATTTTTTAAGCAAGCAAACTGAGTTTGAACCATCTTCATATCCTGGTGGCTGCATCATGTAAATATTAGTATCCAGTTCCCCATTTAGAAAGGCATTATCCACATCAACTTGCCTTATAGACCAAGACTTAGAGACAGCAATGGACAGAACTAATCTTATAGTTGTTGGCTTTACAACTGGACTAAATGTCTCAGTGAAGTCCATACCAGGTACTTGGCTAAAACCTTTAGCAACTAGTCTTGCCTTGTACCTGGCAATTGATCCATCTGCATTTTTCTTTAATTTGAAAACCCATCTGCATCCTATTGCCCTTTTATCTGTAGGAAGATTAGCTAAAACCCAAGTTTTATTGTCAAGGAGAGTTTGATATTCCTGATCCATAGCTTTCTTCTAGTTAATGTCTTGAAGAGCTTCTGAAAGTGTGGTAGGTTCAATGTGATCAGTGGCTGATTTGGTGCAAGAAAACACCTTTCTTTTAGAAATTCCAGCTCTTCCTCTTGTGATCATTGGATGAACATTCTCTGCATTAGCATTGTTAGTAGCAACAGTTCGTATAGAAGCACTATGCCTATCACTTTCAATTGGTAAATCTATAAAGATCTGTCCAATAGGAATTCTAGGTGACTGAGTTTGAGGTGTGGTAGCTGAAGATTGAGATTGTTGAGTGGCTGGTGTGCTGTGATGTTGAGAAGCAATAGGAGAATTATGGCTGGGTTGAGAAGGCTGGTTTTGAGGATTAGGAGTTGAAATGATCAGAGGTGCCACATGTTGGTCTGGAAATAGAGTGTTTTGAGGTGAAGAATGTTGTGTTTGGTCTTGAAAGGGAAAGACTGTCTCATCAAAAGTCACATGCCTGGAAATAATGATTCTCTTATTTGGCAGCAAGATCTTATAACTCTTATACTGGTCATGATAGCCGAGAAAGACACTTTGTTGACTCCTGAAGTCAAGCTTGTGTTTGTTATATGGTTTTAGGTAAGGATAACAAGCACATCCAAAGACTCTAGTGTGTTTGTAATCTGGTTTTGTGCCTGTCAGAGCTTCAAAAGGAGACAAGAAATTCAAGACTTTGCTAGGGACCCTATTCAAGAGGTACACAGCAGTAGAAAATGCATGATCCCAATATCTTTTGAGAACAGAAGATTGAGCAAGAATTGATAGAGCAGAATCAACTATGTGCCTGTGCTTTCTTTCAACACTTCCATTTTGTTCAGGGGTATAAGGACAAGACATCCTGTGAGTGATCCCATTTTGATGAAAGAAGTCTGACAAAGGCTTATATTCTGTTCCCCCATCACTTTGAACTATCTTAATTTTCTTGGAGAATCTATTTTCAACAAGGGTTCTGAAATGAATGAAAGCATTTGAAGCATCTGACTTGTGCTTTAGAAAATAAATCCAAGTGAACTTGGTTTTATGGTCTACAAAGTTGATAATAGCTGTGACCTGTAGCAGACTTAATAGGACATGGCCCCCATAGATCAGTGTATATTAATTCAAGCACATCATAGCAATCAGTCATAGAGTCAACAAAAGGAAGTTTATGGCATTTTCGCATAAAACATGAAGAACATAAAGATTTACTTGCATTGTCATGAAACTCAATGTTACAGCCTTTAAAAGCCTTTTTTACAATATCATAGGATGCATGTCCTAGTCTATTGTGCCATAGGTCAAGACTGAGTTTATTCTTCAAGAAAGCTGAATGAAACTGGGGTTTGAACTTTCTGAAGGAAGGATGGACCTCAACTCTATTTCTTTTGTCTTGACTCATGTGAAAGCTGTAAAGGCCATTAGTAAGTCTACCTTTGAGTAGTGTCTCCCCTGTGGCTTGATCCTTGAGAAGACAGAAAAATGGATGAAATTCAAAGTAAACCCCATTATCTCTAGCAAATTGGGAAACACTCAAAAGGTTCTTGTTTATGTGTGGCACACAAAGAAGGTTGTTGAGAATGAAAGAATGGTTCTTATTGGAAACAGATTTAAATATAGAAGAACCAACATGAGTGATAGGCATACCTGTGCCATTTCCCATCTCTATCTTGTCATCTCCAAGATACTCAGTTGCAAGGTTGAGGTTGCTCAAGTCTGATGTGATGTGGTTGGTTGCTCCTGAATCTGGCAGCCACTGTGAATCTTGAAAGCTGTGATTGGTTTCTGAGCTGCCAAAGGTACTTCCACTGTAGGAGCTTAAGTTTGCCATGTTGGCCATGTTCTGGTACCCTTGTTGTCCTCTGAAAGTGTTGCTTTAAGTGTAGACATAGTTTTGATCAAATCTGCTGTAACACCTGTCAGTTGTATGACCATCCTTTTGGCAAATTTGGCATTTAACATAACTCATTCTGCCACCTCTACCTCTGTAGTTATTGCTTCTGCCAGTCCTACCACCTCTAAAGTTCCCTCTACTTTGGTTAGATCTCCCTCTGTAGCTTTGGTTAGAGGTAAATCCTCCTCTCTTTGATGCCTGCTGAGATGCCAGATTTGCAAAGCCCCTAAATCCATCTCCATTCAGTGAGTTGGTTGTGTTCCTTTCAATTCTAGTTTCAAAGGTCAACAGCAAGGCCTGGGCTTCTCTGAGGGTACAAGGAGGGATTCTTGAGTTGACTGAAACAGAAAGCGAGTCATACTCAGGTCCAAGTCCATCAAGCATGGAGGAAATGTGGTCATCCTCAGTGTATGTGTGCCCAGCAGCGCAAGTGCATCATAGCAAGCCTTGATCTTGTTCAGATATTCTCTCATGGTTTGTGCACCCTTCTTAAGATTATGAAGCTGAGATTTAATTTGCATGACCTTGGCTCTAGACTGAGTAGTATAATCCAACTCCAATGAATCCCAGATCTCATGAGAAGTGTTTAACCCAACTGTATTCACAAGAATCTCTTCAGAGAGAGAGCTTAGAAGCCAAGACACCAGCAGTTGGTCATGCTTTTGCCAGTTGAGATAAAGTGGGTTGAGAGATGTTTGGACTCCATTCTCATCTGCAACAAATTTATCAGGTGGCAGTGATGTGCCTAGGACAAAGCCTTCAAGACCATACCCTTTGACTGTGGCTAAAACCTGGTGTTTCCAAACAAGATAGTTGCTTTCATTGAGTTTTACTGTAATCAGTTGTGCTTGGGGTTGAATCACAGGTAAGGCTAGCCCAGAGCTCGAGAAATCAGTGCTTTGACTTGCCATTTTCAAGTAAGGGAACAGAAAAACCAAACAAGAAGAAGTAAAGAAAATCTGGCTCAAATCTCAAAATAAAAAATGATAAATTATCTTCATGGGCTGCAGAGTCAGGTTACGATCAACCCGCTCTGATACCATAATGGCAAATGTTTATAGCCATTGATGAATACACACGTTCACAAGATCGATGAAATGAAAACACAAGAAACACAAGAAACAAAAACGCAGCAGCTGAGGGAATATGATATGTTGATTGATTGGAAACCTAGGATGGATACAAAGTCTTTTATACATCAACACAGATAATCATAGCCGTAGATATAAGATCAACGGCTGAGAATAAACTAGCTATATGCCAAACAATTCAAACTGTAAAGAAAACAAAGCAGCTCCACGTCTGCTTGAATAAGACATGCAGATAACCTAAAATGGAAATGAAAAGAGTAAAGGAGTAAAACTTGACTTGGTCTTCATAATCTTTATATGCTATTACTAAAGCGCAAAAAATGTCGTAAAAAGAGTCCAACTGAACTGCAAACTCAAACACAAATTCAGTGTTCTAGAAGTCGCTAGGCGTTCGACTAGCGCCTCGGGTGGGGCCTATAAATTAAGATTAAATACTTTGTTTTTTTATTTATTTTTACAACCTACAAAATAAAACTATTTCAACTTATAATAAATTAACACACCTAAGTCTAAATAATAATAGTAGTATATTATAAAGAAAACATGATAATAAAATAATATAATTAGTATTAAAAATTAAAAAAAATTAAAAAATTTCCACCGAGCCGCTTAGGAGCGCCTAGGTGGCGTCTAGGTCCGTCTAGGCGCAGCCTGGCCACCGAGCCCGCTAAGCCTGCCTAGAAGCGCCTAGGTCCGCCTAGGCGCTGCCTAGATTTTTTCAGCCGATTTATACAAATCAGAGGCGGCCGGTAACGCCTAGGCCGACTTTTAGAACATAGCTCAAAATAGGTTTTTGCCTATTTTTTTTCTCATCAAAACCGATATATGTGTTTTTCTTGTAGCAAACGCATTCTTCTTTTTCATCTATCAAATTATTTCTTCATTTTAATATACATCTTTTGTATTAAATTTATTATCTCCTCTTATTTTTTACAATAAATAAATTTATATAATACAAAATATGACTCACTCATATGGATGACTAATTTATGCACTTAAACAAATACATCCATATGTACGAATTATACAAAATATGAGGAAGTCATAAATTCATGTAAATAAACTTATGTAGGAATTATACAAAATATGAGTCACCCATATGTAAGATTTTATTATATGTAAAAAATTAGTCCTACATATAAGAGCATCTGCATTGCTTTAGGTTTAGTTTTGTATATGTGGAATGTAAATGAACCTAAGTCTTGGATGACATGGACAAAAATATATAAAATTAACAAAATCTACTCCAATGCAAGAAGACTAGGTCTCTACTTGGGTCTAAGTTGGACTTAAGGTTAGACCGGGTCTCTTTTTCTTGCTGCCACAACAACAAGATCTAGTCCACTTACACTTGAATTGGAGAACATATTTTTTTTAAACTGAGTTTATTTCCGAGGTGGCATTCAAATTTTTTTGATTGAACCTAAAGCATTGTGAATGCTCTAAGGTCCCAATTACCTTGAGCCAGGCGGTTAATCCGTGCGGGAAGAAAGTGCCACGAGGTTTCGTTTGTTCTTGATTAAGGTTATATTAATAATGTTGAAATGTTTTTTATTTATGATATATGTTTGTTTGTTGCTTGTAATTTGTATGTTGATGAAATGAATCAATGTGACATTTTTTAAGAAATGGTGATCTCTCATCAAGTTTCTTGCTTTCAATGCATGGTTCTATTTGTTAAAGAATTATAGATAATTTGTATCTTATCTTTATGCAAAAGTACAAGGCAGATATAAATATTCATTGAGTTTTTTCAAACAAAATGATTTTGGTTGATACTTATCCTTGAATATGAGTATTTTCTTGTTGTATGACTAAAATATTTAATCAAAGTGGGTCAAAAGAAAATGGTTGGAGTTTAGAATTTGGCCAAATTGATTTTAAGTTTTAAGAATCTAGTTAAGCAATGGTTTCTTGGCTTATTACTTGCAGTAAAGAAACTAGTTAAGAAGTGGTTCTGCAAGTCATGTACATACTTTTATACTCAAATATCGTACTATAAAATATAGAGAGATGCTACAATCCTGTCACTAAACTATTCCATCGGCGTTTGTACTGTTAGATCAACTATCCCCGACGGTTACATGATGATCTAACAGTTACAAATCGTGACGGAATGCTTCCGTGACGGAACCGTAACATTTCCCTAAAATATAATATAAATAAAAAAGTATGAATTCATAATATATAAAAGTATGGCTGCATAACAATTGACAGCTTAACAATAACATTTATGAAATAAAACGAACACCTAGTTCTTATCATATGTAAAGGATAACAACAACAAACTGATAACTTTAAATTTTTTTTTGTTTCAAGTAAAAGGAAAAAAAAAAAAATGCAGCCATGGCCTCATGGGACGTGTTAGGGCCATATTTATTTGGTCTCTATGGGCCACCACTTTAATGAGGGCCACCGTCCCTTGAAGGCCCTCTCGGCTTCATAGCCTCAATGGCAGGTTCGTTTTCTGCATCACTTGGCGATGTGGAAAAAGTAGGCACCCCAACATTATTTTGCATACAATATTATAACCATAAATCTGCATTTTATGATCTTGATATCTAGAGAATCTTAGTACTGTTAAACGAACAATTCGCAAACACAACTCAATTCAGCTCATGAGTCATCATGATGAGATCGTTTATTAAACGAGTTGAGCGAACAACTCTTTTCTAATATTTTTTTTTTGGTTTGCTTATAATATAAGTTGAACCAACTTGTTCGCAAAACATGAGTTCGTTAGAGATTTTAGGCTTATTAAACAAGTCGAGCTGAGCTCGAACAGTCATCCAGTATAGATCGTGGTACCGAAAGATTTTTAGATTTGTGAAATTCTATAACTGATCATTTATAAAAGAAAAAAAAAACACACAATTTAAAATATATTTTGAGACAATTAATAAAGTTATGGATGAAAAATGGGCGAGTATATAGTAACTAGATGATAACTAATAATTTAACTGAGCAAACCTCGATGGATGTGGGATAATGAGCAACATGGAGTTCATCGAGGACTCGAGCATGACATGCATGAAAATTGAAACAAAATAGCAACATTAGCACAAGAGAAGATATGATTTTCGACATCTCTCAAGTCTCAAAGTAAAGTTTAAAAGGAATGCAAAGTTTTGTTGCGATCAAATAACAAAACCCAAGAGATTGAGTTGTTGTTAAAATAGCTTAAACCATACGATATTTATAGGAGGTGCTAAAGAACAAGGAGACATTTTTCACTCTTTCTAATTTTTAACTTAGAAATACCCACATTATCTTTTGAAATAATTATGTGGTTTAAGATAATACCCATATTTTCACCTGTCTTAATT